TCACTGTGCAAGCAGAGACCTGACGGCAGACTGCCCCTCCCTCAGACCCGACGGTCTTACCAGAGCGCTTGGTGGCCATCGGTGTGACATTAGTCCAGTGTCCTGTATGGGGGTCATATTTCTCAACTGAATTTAAGATATTCAAGCCGTCGTATCCTCCTGAAAGACAAAGTAGAGGCCATTCCAGAAAGAACCACAAATCCCGGCCCCACTCCGTCTGCCTTTCTCTGTGTTCCCACTTGATCTTTAATCTCAGTTCTCCTTCAAGGGTTCCAACAGTCCAAAGAGAGATCTAACAGAATCCCATGATCTGCTCCCACGAAAAAGATAATCCCAGTTAACGGAACTGTATTGGGATAAACCAGGGTTTTAGTTGAAGGCCATCTATGACCTTGATTCTGGTAAAAAGAGAACCCTCCTCCCCAAAAGGCTGCCACCCATGACACCCTCTCCCATCCCTGCCTCCCCGGCTCAACACCTAGACAGTAGATCACGCCGCCGGCCACCACCAGCCCCGCGCCTTCCCGGGCTGTCTGCATATCTCCCAGCATGCTCCACTGGTCAATGTTGGGGTCATAGCGCTCCATGCTGGTGTGACGCCTGCTCCCGTCAAAGCCTCCAGAGACGTAGATCATATCTGTTCAGAATGAACCAACCACAGACACTTAGAGGATTTTTTTTAATGTTGTGAATTTAAACATTTTAATCATAAATCACTCTAATTATATCAACAACAGCCTCATTCTTCACTAAGAAATTTATTTATTTTTTAAATTTCAGTTCTTTATTGTTTCAAGTATTACATAGGTCTCCTTTCCCCCCACGTAACTCTCCCGGCCACCCCCACCCCCAGCACATGCCCTCCCCCAAGGAGAGATTTCTAATCACGTTGCTCTACCAGTTCCCCACAAGTCCTTCAAGTGCTTGGGAGCAAAACCAAAGTGTTTCTTACAGGATAAGTCAATGAAGTCTTATCGATCAGGAAGAGAGCACAGGCCACACATGTACAGACAGTGGACGAAGTCCCCGAAGACCAGCCGCAGGCCCCAGAAACCCAGAGCCACGTCCCACTCAGTACGTTGCGACCCTACCCAGCATGCTGTCAGCGCTGAAGCAGCTCTGTAACTGCTATTGCCCACGCCAACAGGAGCGTCTGACCTCCCCGGGACCCTCCCTGCCATGTTCCTGCCAGACAGCAGGGAGGTCTGAGCCCCGATCCAGCCCCACCGCATGGCAACGCCACCCTGCACTCCCAGCCTACCTCCTAGGGTGGTGGCACCGGCAAGGCCTCGTCGGACATTCATTGGGGCCACGGAATACCAGACCCCATCCTCATCTGCTGTGTAGTCCAGACATTCCACTGAACTGAGGCGGGAACGGCCATCGTAGCCACCGATGACATAGATCCGGTCATGTAAAGACACGGAGGCCACGTAACGTCTCTTCCGAGTGATGCTCTGTGGTCCAGGAGAGAAGGGTACAGAGCACTTCAGTCACGCAGCCTCGGCCTCCCCCCAGGCTCTCCGTCTTGTTTCCGCCTCTTCACTCGCCAGCAGGAGCCTTCGGCAGTAGCTCTTCCTCAGTGGCCTCCAGCTGTCTGCCCACTGAGCAAACACTCTCTCACGTGTTGTGATGCTCTAGCATCAAGGCTCCTGCACCCCTGCCTCCCCCCAAGGCTTCCCGTTCTCCAGTGTCTCACTCCTTTCTCCTCCATAGGGCTCTGTGCTGCATACTCAGATCCTCCCCTAGAGTGGAAGTTTTCCCGCACTGCTCATCTAAGGGCCAGACTCAACGACCCTAAAGTCATGAGGATTGACTGAAAGATTTCCAGGTTTTCTCAGAATTATTATTATTTTCACCACTCAAACAGAGACAGACTGAGAAAGATACAAACTTGAGTTCAATTTCATACAACTTAACACCAAGCTCAGGGTGACAGAGCAGGACCAGTGGAGCATGCTGGGAGTTACAGACAGCTCTGGAAGGTGCTGAAACAGGGTGGCAGCTGACACTGGCATTCTGAGGTCTGACCTAATGTAAATAGTTGATAATTATCTATTGAATACCTACTGTGCACATGACACTGTTGTAAGGAGCGTTAGCCGTTACTAGGTTTTCCTATTCTTAGAGCTGGGTTATTTATGACCCAGAACCAGGGACGGAGGACACGTGAGCTCTTTCTCCACGACGGGTTCCACCCTTACTTACTGGCAAAAAGCTCCACTCCTGAGTCTTGGGGTCATACTTCTCCACCACGTCGATGGGAGACTGCTGGCTGCCAAAGCCCCCAACCACCAGCAGCACTTCATTGGCTCCTGAGGAGAGAGGAAGGCAGGTCTCTGCACCGCCCTTGGCTGGGTGAACACGCGCAGGGAGTATAAGCAGAAACAGCTCTACAATGAATGTCGTTTTACGTGCCCAGAGAAGCAGTCGAAAAAGAAGAGTCACTGTAAGGTGGCCTCAGAGGAAATTACTTCTCCTAGAGCAGCAGTTCTCAACCTGTGGGCCGCGACCCCTTTGGCAGCCGAACGACCCTTTCACAGGGGTCGCCTAAGACCATCCTGCATATCAGATATTTACATGACCATTCATCACAGTAGCAACATGACAGTTATGAAGTAGCAACGAAAATAATTTTATGGCTGGGTCACAACATGAGGAATTGTATTGAAAGGGCCAGAAGGTTGAGAACCACTGTTCTAGAGGCTCTAGCTCTTGAGAACTCAAATATCTTAAATTTAAATTTCTGGACATTAAAACTGCAGAAGGCAAATGTGAGTCCACCACACCCTTCCAGCCACCCAGACGCCTCTGGCCGACATATCGACTGAGGTTCCACGTGCAGGTAGGAGCCAAGAGGAGCTCCCTGCCCTTCTCAGCCTGTACCTCAAAACGGAAGTTTCTTTGGTGATGAAAGACCACTCTCCTAACCTTGTCTCAGAAAAGTTGAGATTTGTGAAATAGGAACCAAGTGATATATTTAAAAATCTCTTTTCCATGCCCTGGCCGGTGTGGCTCAGGTGGTTGAGTGTCACCCAGTGCACTGAGAAGTCACTGGTTCGATTCCCAGTCAGGGCACATGTCTGGGTTATGGGCTTGATCCCCAGTGGGGGCCATGCAGGAGGCAACCGAATGATGTTTCTCTCTCATCAATGTTTCTATTTCTCTATCCCTCTCTCTTCCTCTAAAATCATTAAAAACATATTTTAAAAAATCTCTTTTCTATGAACTTTTATTTTTCCAGTTTAGCCAACTATGTCATCAAAACTGCCAAGTAATCATAAGACTAGACTCTTAAAGGGAATCTTCTCTACAATTTTCCCAAAGATATTTGATAACCTTTCCTACATTGTTTCTTTCCAAAGACAAAGTCTTTTGAGGAAATCCCCTGTGTAACTGCACCCACGCAGCCTGGGTGAGTGAGGCCAGGCCCCTGCCCACCCCTGGGCTGTCCCCACCACCTGCTCCTCCTTCCTTCCTCACCCAGAGGGAAACACACAGAAGGGGACAGGTGGATGGGAACATACCAAGTCCTACGTGACATTCTACATAATTCCCAATTCACAGACTCCAAACATATTGAAACAAAACTTGACAATTTATAAATTGCCACACTTTATCTCACTGAATCCTCCAAAGAGTTGTGCAAAATAGATATGGAAGAAAGCTCGGGTGGTAAGGTGATCGGTCTGAGAGGACACGATGAAGAAAAGATTAAAAACAGGCCTGAGACAAGGTCTTTGTATTTTCTATAGAATGCTCTTCTTAGCTCCATCATCCACCCGGCAAGGGGCAGTTTTCTACAGACGCCAGCTCACCCAGACGAGCCCGTGTCCTGGGTCCCTGCATCTGACTCCGCAGTTCAGGCCTCAGGTGGAACTTCTTTGCCTCATCGACGAGGTCCCTGCACTGGAGACTGCAGCGGATGAAAGGCTGGAACACAGAGCAGAGGGGGGCATGGCCCCACTAATGTCATAAGGATAAACGGCATGTTTATGGTTAAGTTGTAATTAACTTCTCATATAGAAACCAATTTCCAAAATGTGGCTCCATGAGGCTCTGGCAGCAACTACGCTGTGGCGTCGGAAATGACTAAGGAACCCGAGGGCACGCTCTAAGCTGTCGGACAGCCAGGCTCGGGACCCTGTCTCCCAGGACTCACCTCTGCGTCGATGACGTCTGTGATGTACCTGGGGGTCAGCAGGGGCATCCGCACATACTGCAGCAGGTCAGGCAGGGACTCTTCCCGCTCCTTCTTGGCGTGCTTCACCCAGTTGATGACGGCCTCGAAGACGGGCTCTTCAGAATCCACCTATCAGTGCACAATTACAGACCTGTGTGCTGCCAATCGCCTCACAAGCTCAGAAAGTAGCCAGGCCTACCTTTCCCTTCCTGTTCCCGTCCCCCGCCACCATTATTTAACATCTTCCAGAAAGAGCTGGGTTCTTAGGAAAACATCTTTTCACACACAAGTCCCTAAGACCAGGAAGAAGATGATGGTGAAAGTGGGTGAGATATCTGAGACGGAGAGTGCCTAGTAAGCCCTCAGCCACGGCTGGTGTTTCCTTCAGAATGTCCTCCACTCGCGAACCTCCTCTGGTCATTCTGAAGCTCCCGGGGGCGTGGGGAGGATCTGTTGCCGACTCAACGCTGGCTCTAAGGGAACGCCCACTCCCTGGTGCCGTCGATGCCCTCCGGCTTCTCCACATCACCATGGGCCCAGCACCTGGGCACCAGCTGTAAGAGGCACGGAGCTACTGAGACAATAAACAGGGTGCCCCAAATGTATCCACGTTCTGGCTAATTATAAAGGCAGTGTTTATTGAAATGCATTTCATTTCAAAGCTGAGCTAACCGCTGTTCGAGTGTGGATACATTTTGGGGGACACGCTGCACACAGGCACCACCTGGGGAACCCGAGTCTAGGCTTAGCTATGACCGACAGGATAAGGTAAGAACCATAAACAGCCGGTACTATTCCCCTGGAAGAGCACCAGGTGTGACAGCACCCAGGACCTTCCAAAGACGACACCAGAGTAGGGTCCTGGGTCCCTCCCACCAGCCCGAGGGTACCTGTCCTGACAGACGCCTTCCAGGGAGTGACAGGACCTACACAGGAAACCACTCTGTGAACTTTTCCTAAGAACTGAAAACACAGAAAAGGTCGCAGAATGTCCACTCCTCCGAGGCTTTCCCGAACACCTGCTGAGTGCCAGGCACTGTGCCTGAGGCGGTCACTCTGGTCAACAGGTCAGACCTGAGCCGGGCCCTGGAGCGGGGAGATCATGGTAAAATCAGAAAGAGCAGACTCGCGTTCGGTCCTTACACACGGCACTGGGAGAGCACAGGGGCCACGAGACAGAAATGCACGCGATTCCTCGTTCCCACCGATGGGCCAGGGAAGGCCTCCCTGCAGAAGCAAGGGATTTACGTCTGATGGGCGAGAGGCAGTTGGCCAAGGAGAGAGGCCTCTGGGCAGACAGAGCACCAGCAGAAACCTGGAGCCGCACTGTCCACCCGGAACCAGCCAGCGTGGCAACTGCACTGACTTTCATCAAAAGTAAGTGGAACTGGAACTCGGCTGCTCGGCCACACTTGCCAGCCTGTGGTGCTCCAGGGGCTACTGAGCTGGACAGCGCGGACACAGGTCCTCTCCATCTGCTCAGGATGTCTAGCCCACGGCGCCGTCCTAGAGCGCAGCTGTCCCAGAGCGCAGCAGCACTGACCACTTGGGGACTGAGGAGGCGGGTGCCGTGGAACGAACGGGTGGGGACAGATCAGCTGCAGACGTAAACGAGGCCGTCACGGCCGCGGAGACTGCCTTCACTCTGAGAGCGACTGGGAGCCATGAAAAGCCTCAAGCCGGCCTGTGACCTGATCACACCGAGGTCTGTAAGGGTCACCGACGATCTTGGGTAGAACAGAGTGAAGGGCCGAGCGCTGGGAGCCCTTGAAACCGAGGAGCCACTAATGTCTGGGAATCCACTAATTTAAAATTCATGTTTTACTATATCCAAGGAGAGCAAGGGGGGACGCGGGGAGGAGGAACTCTGAGCTTCCTATAGAGCAGAATGCCCCCTAACTGCGGGGACAAAGCCCACAGGTGGACGTCACCCCCCCCATGTGCTCTGCTAGGTATTTCCCAGACGCTCCTGACTAGATCACGGAACTGGGCGACTGGAGAGGAAGGCCTCAGGCCTCCTGATACGAGCAGCTCTGTGATAGACTCCTCACGATCCCGAGACGCACGTGCACTGAAAACTGCGCGGGAGTGGGACTGAAGTTCCCCTGCCGGCTCAGCACTGAACGCTGCCTCACACCCGTCCCAGGCCCCTCCCTCACTTCCTCGTCCCCCACGCGGCACTCAGAACCTGGCTCCTGCTCACCGTCTCCAACCTCGGTCCCTTCCTTTCTGACCTAATCTAAACCTAGGCTCACTCTTCTTTCTCCTATGCAAGGCCCTCATTTGAGTAGGCTCGTTATTCTCATTACACCCTATGACAATCAGTTTGGTGGTGTCTCTACCACTGCACTGTGAATTCTCTGAAAACAAGAACTGCCTCTTTCTTCTGGCCCATAGAACCTGGCGCATTGATTGCTATGTCACAGATGCTCGCGACAGATGTTTGTAAGATGAGTGAATGGGTAACAGAGAAATTCACTTTCCTTCCCATTTCTGCTTCATCCCCTCTGTACAGCAGTGATTCTCAAACACTGGGATCACACATTTCATTCAGGAAGGTGGTGAACTCCCTCCAAAAACACGCCAATAACTTGGCATGTGATCTCAGGGGCATTGAATGAAACCCGTGGAGCCAATGTGGACAGTGCAGTAAGAAGTCCTGCTACAGAAACATGGAACTCCACCTTGCTTTTTGTAATGGCCCAATCTTAAAGCAGCCACCGTAAGAAGCCCAATCTGTACCTGGATTTCATCACACTTGATTAGCTTTTCCACCTCTCCCTGACTCAGGAGGATGAATTCTTCGTGCTGCACCACTTCAGGGAAGTGCTTCTGGCTGAAAACCTCCGCGGCTTGCATCAGGTCAACACAACTGTGCGTTTCAGCAAAGTCCCTGATACCCAGGCAATTAGAAGGGTCCAACTGACTTTCTAAGAACTCACAGCAGGCTTGCTTCACACCTAGGACAAACACAGACATTGAATACTTCAGGCACGTGGCCAGCTGAGCTCTGGTCTCTGTTCTCAATCGCAACATCTTCTCTACACAGAGTTAGAGAACCCTGGCTCAGCACTAAGGACCAGATTAGAAATTTCATGCTGAAGGAATGCAAACCTATTTCTGTGTTATGCATAAGTGACCTCCAATAAGGCCTTTACGATGGTCTCTGCTTCAGCTTTAAAACAACTATAGCAAGACAAACTGCTTCTGCGGACACTGGCACAATTAAGCAAAACTGCCCATAAAACTCTTGAAAATCAAGCTATAAAACCAATTCTAATTCAGCATGATGCACCTAATTTCTACTCTATGTGAAAATTTACCTCGTACGTTACATAAATGTGAAACCACTATGCTGTACACCCGGAACTATTATAATATTGAATGTCAACTGTAATTGAAAAGAGTTTTTTTTTTTTTAATTTACTAAAAGACTCCAGTGAAGAAACAATAGGAAACGAATATCTGGCTCATACTTCTCTAACTGAGAAGTTCAGAGCATAAACCTAACGGTATGGCTGTGCAGTAATGCAGAACCCTCCATTGTTTCAACCATTAAAACGGCAAACAGCAGAAACAGCACTGGAGTGAAGGAGTGGACGGGGCCCTGGAAGGGTCAGCACCGCTAACTCCGTGAAAACGTTTACTTCATGTTTGTGTGTCAATTACAATGTTCAATACACACTTTACACGGTGCAGAAAAGTCAAGGTACAAAGGGTTCCCATGAACAGCCCCCCTGCCTCCCTACCCCCCTGGCCACCTCAACCCTCTACGTGGGCGACACAGCATCGGTTTCTTGTGTCCTTGCAGGCTATTGTGTACATGCGCGCAAGGAAGCGCATCTGTCCTCTCCTCCATTTTTCTGAAAACAGAACAGGGGTAAATGATCTCTTCCAAGGAGCCCGACACTCACATTGGGAGAGGCCCTTTCTACTGCGACTGAAACCCGGTCTCTGCCCATGGGCAGTACATGTGAGCGCCTACGTCTGTCTCCACAGCCTTCACTTTAAACATTCCGGGCCATCTTGGCACGCACAATAGTAGCACCTGTACCTTTCAGCTGCAGCAGACAGGCTGCAGGGAGCAGCTCCTGCACGTTCTCCACCGTCACATGCACGGTTTCTGTGTACACAAAGTCCAACAGGATTTCCATGGTGGAGGCAGTTAAACCTTGGATATCGACGTAAGGTTTCCCTTTCTCTGAAAGCTGAAAATTCAAAGGGTATGAAATACTCGTGGTTATAATTCCCCATGATAAAAGCAGCATCTCATATCCAACAGCCTGAGGGATGTTAATAATATGAACCGAACACACATCTTTTTAAAGTTATAGTCTATTTTGTTTGATTTGTATAAAGCATGTATTTGTAGCTGTTCCAACGGGGAAGGAACTGAATGTAACCCAAGAGCACACAGTGAGGTGACACCTTCCTGGAATATCAATTTTACTGAGTTGTTTGATACTTTGCAAGATACTGGGTTAACTTGTTTTTGGGATCACCGAATCGCTGATGGTATATTTTGCCTAGAATACATCCTTGAAGTTATGAGTAATAATTATTCTTAAAAATAAAGACGAAAACTCTTGAGAATCAAGCGAAAAACCAATGAATTCCTGCCAAAGTTCTACTTTGATACTGAAAGGGCAGGCCTCTTACCTCACTAGTGAACATGGCACAGAAGTAATCGCTACAGGCAGCCAGCACGATGCGATGGGCCGGGAAGTCTTTCTGCTCCACTCTCAGCGTCACGTCACACAGGGTGTTGCTCTTCCTGAGGGAGTTCATTGAGTTGAGGATGGATTTAGCATGTGTATTTGTCATGATGTCTTTGGGGGCCATAATGCCTCCCATCAAGCAAAGTGGAGAAACAACGAAAGGGGTCCTTGGATTCTGGAAATACAAGAGGGAAAAACAATGAGCGTATCTGAAGGGCTGGGGAAACGGAACATTTTCCATGCAGCTTTACAAATGAAGGCGGCTTCCTCAGAACCAAACACGGAGTAGGGAGCACTCCACTTCCTGGCATCACCCCCCAGTCCGGCCACTAATCATCCCAAGTAAGAATGCTCTCCCTTCTCTGGATCCAATAGCACAGAGTGCCCCTGCCACTTGGCACTCATCATCAACACTCAACTGTATTGTAAACAGAAACTATACAGGCCCTGCAGAGCTTCACAAGGCTCTTGTCTGAAATGATAAAATGGTGGAAAAATAAAATTGCTTAAAGGCCTCTATCACTACTATTGAATATCCATAAGCAGATTAAATGGGTAAATATTTAGAGGATCGAGATCCATTGTGTATATATACATATTTTTAAAAATGTATTTTAAATGAATTCAGACAGGACTGGAGAGGGAGAGAGAGATAGAAACATCAATGATTAGAGAAAATCATTGATCGGCTGTCTCCTGCACGCCCCCTCCTGGGGATCAAGCCTGCAATCCAGGCATGTGCCCTGACTGGGAATCGAACCCAGGACCTTTCAGTCCCCAGGCCGATGCTCTATCCACTGAACCACACCGGCTAGGGCAATGTGTATATATTTTTCTATCACAGCAGGTGTACAATAAATATGTAGTAAATGAATGCAAAAAAAGAATTGGGTATTCAACTTAGAGCAGTAAAAGCCAGAGCCAGCAAAAATAAAATTTTTTCCAAAGAAGTATGTAGAGAATTATGTATGAAGATTTCCAAATAAACCTGGGCCCAATGAGGACCCATTATCTACACTGGACAAGGGGAGCCATGCAAGCGTTTCCATGGACTTTCACTTGGCTAAGCTACGAACAGTCTTTCAGGGAAGGGTCTTCCTCCTCCACATCATCAGTGGATGTCCATCCACAGCAGCAAACCAGTATCTGTAGAAATTCTTCTATACTGAGACAAAGAGCCTTACTAGGACAGAAACTTACCCAAACTCACTACTCGTTTTCTGCCAGTCAGTCACTTGCAAAGCTCACTTGTGCGCATCAGTTAAATGAACTCGGCAACAGATTCCACATTTAAAAGAAGTCAGTGTAAGAAGTACTTTCTCGATTACGGACAGGCTGTAGTCACACTGCATTTTCCTCGAACGACAACTTGTGGGGAATGAAATGGGGTGGTTACTAAGAGGCTCTCTCTTATTTGGGTTCCAACGCTTTCATAGATGATTCAAGAAACAAAACAAAACAACAAAACCAGGAGCCCACAACTGACAACCGTGATTCTGAAGAGCAAACAGGGCCCCTGAATTCCCACCGGGGCCGTCCAGAGCCAGCCTGTGCCGTGCAGCTCCCCTGATCACCCCCCGCAGCCCTGCAGACCCAGGTGACAGTGAGTCACAAGCGGATGATGTTCCAGCTCCGGGTGCAGCTCTGCAGACCGGGAAGGTCTGAACAAAGCCCGTTTGCAGGGGGCTCCCACCGGGCTCGGCCTGGACTGGGCGGCACCACCTCAGGGTCAAACCGGGCCGCCCTGGTGCAGCGTGGGGATCGGCCTCGGCGCGCGAAGCCAGCACCCCCTCCCCCAAGAG